AAATTTTTTTTGTAATCCATGATAGAATTTTTTGAAAATTTGTGATTTTTTTTTTAATCCATGATCGATTTTTTTGAAAATTTGTTAAATTTTTTTTTTAATCCGTATTATTCAAAGAGAAAATGAGAAAGATGATGATTCTGAGGCCACCCTATCCCAGCCATATTATTCACATATCGAGTCCCAACAGCAACAGTGTAGGGATAAGCATGACAGTGCAGGTGAGCATGAAGGATTGACAAAATCTTCAAGGATTTTAGATTGGGAACACAACAAAACACTAACACTCAGTGATTTGAGAATAGTCAGACGCCTGCTAATATCGATGATTCGTTTTTAAATCGAATCAATGAATTGTTAAACGAATTCAATCAATGGCACCAGCGTGACCAAGAAGAACAATAACGTCGTCTATCATTTTATTTTTAGATCATATGTTACTAATTTTATGCTTTATTGTAGTCCATGTATGTTGATATACTTATTCCATGATAATTATATGTTTTTCCTTTGTGTGATGTAAATTAAATGCTGAATGGCGGTTCATGCAGGGAAAGAGCATATCAATATTCTCATATTCATTCAAAAACATGAAAATTCTTAATGGAGTACCCTCATTTCTTATTGAATTCCGAAAAAAAAATATTTAGAATGAATTTTAATAATTTTTTTGGATTTTTTTTAAGCTTTATTCTGACCGATTCAGCCGATCCAGATCGCTGATTAGCCGATCCGGATCGGTTTTTTGGAAGCCCGATCCGGATCACCGATCCATTTTTTAAACCATTGATCAAAACGCATTCATTAACTCGATAAATTGTATGGGAATTTTTCTGCACCATTCCTGATGACCTATCCCTGAAACTTATCCATGAAACTGTTTCTTCTACTTTGTAAAGGAGAAGAACGAGGAAGGAAACGCAGCAACATTGAGACCATAGGGAACTAAGGGCAGCATCATGGTCGATGAATCTTGAAACCAAATATTCTGTGGACATAGCTCTGTGAGGCCTTCTGTGGGTTCAGGTGACCCTGTGGGTTCAGGTGACCATATGTCATGAGGAAGAGGTGAGGGAAGGTGGTCCCAAAGTAAGTCCCATCAATATTGTCCTGGTACTTTGATCTTGGATGGTAGATGTCCGCACACTTGGGGCAATAGATTTTCACAGTGCTCAAATGTTGGACTATCAGATTGACCACTGTCTCTCTCTACAATCCCCAAAAACAACCTTTTACTCTTTCTCCACAATCTCTCTCCTCAAAACACTCTCTCTACAATAGGTTTAACGGATTCCTCATTATGATTTTCATAAATCTTCGGTGGAACTTGATTCTCCACAGGGCAAACAACATCAAGGATCTTTAGTTTCCATTAGAGATTTGTCTACAGTAGGAATACCAGAATCATCAGTCTTCCCATCAATTAAAATCTTGTTATCAAGCAATTCACAATTCTCATTCTCAGCTCGATCCCCAAGATCATCAATGGACATAACAGGTGCCTCTCTTTTACCCTTTTCGACAGAATCCCTTTCTTTTTCAAATTGAGAGGCTGAGTCTTCTGCACTCTCTTTAATGA